CTCTCATCACTGCTGAAATTTCATGTTTTTCTTGTTCAGTGGTCAATCACATCAGGTGGTCCATCTTTACTCACAGGTATACATAGTCCTTACCATTGTGACCTTTGACATTCACCTGCTCGCACTAAAATGGAGAATTGACACAACTTGTCTATTGTGATCAACAGTAATTATCATTATTTTGTTTAAATAACATCAGTCTAATCTTAAATTTCTACCACAGTTGTAGGTGATTATACTTGAGTGGCCTAATTGTGGTTTTATTACAATGGATTACCTAGACCAAATTATGTAAGATTTTCAACAAATGACTGCCAATAACAATTCTCCTACCATTTCTTATAAATGGAGTTGAAATAAATGTCTTTTAACTGCCAGTGTACAGTTCTCAGATGTGTGTAATACTATGGCCAATATAACAATACACTCCAATTCACACTGAGAAATTGTCACACTAATTTGGTTTGCCTTGTTTACTAGCCTAGGAATCCTTTATTAGTCATACAAAGAGGTCAAAGGTCTGCGCTGTCAGCTGGGTACAGACTGTGATACTAAAAACCTCCTCATGGTCTCTTTGAGCAGGACAAATCTAGGACTCAATAGGATAATGAATCCAGAGCATTTGAAAAGCATAGAGAATTAACTTGGTAACCAGTGAAGCAAAAAATCAATATTGTCTTGGACAAGTTGTGTGTGAATCACAAGATTTGTCATAAAACACTCAAACACTCATTCTTATTGGAATCAGTTGTTTGGCTTATTATTGGTGGGATGCATTTGACCGTCCAGTTCTGTTGATGCTGAGTAAACTATTATTTACTCATAGCTTGGTTGATAGTCATTATCTCAGGGTAGTGGTGGGAGTTGGGGGGGGGGGGGGGGGGGGGGGGCTACTCTTATAATCCCCCACCCCTCTTTTTTTCAGAATCATGTGTATATGGCATTAAACTCTGTGAAATAGCAATACAGTTATTTGGTATTTAATTGCTTATGACTTTCCAAACCTCCTAATTAGACTTTTATTGAAATATCATGAATAACATCTGTTTATCACATTTTCTTAATTCCTTTGTTTGTTGTAACTGTATCTTTATTCTTTTACTTGAAAATAGAAAAAAAAACACTGATAGGAAAAATTTACCGCCCCTTAGTATCCATAAAGCCTTAATCAAAATGTGATTCGGAAAATCGTCTTTGAATATCATTATTTCAATACGTCATTTCAAAAAAAATATTGATACTAAGTTGTAAACATTTAAATCTAATTTTTTTCCTGTGTTAGTCTCCTTGTACCTGTAGGCAATCTAGGAAATATCTGAAGCAGTGCCATTGACTTCATAATGAATAAAAATTTCAAGACTAATCATCTATCATTATTCCCTGATTAAGTTACACTTTATTGACACTTGCCCTTGGGTACACCCAAGTTAGGTTAGGCAGAATTTGAATTAAAGGTTTTCTTTGTCAATATCCATAATGAAAGTAATGGATATTGATGGCATAACGTGATGGAGAAAATCAAGTAGTTCCATTGGATTTGCCAATTAATATTTTGTCATTAAAAGTTGGCTTTCCTTTGGTGGGTAGACAGATGGTTGTGTGTATGGTGGCTGCTTCGGTATGGGATATACATAATGTTTGGCAAAATTTGCTCTACAGCAGTTTCCAAGAAATTTTGTCTCATAAAACTAGTGTTACCAGTATAGAATATATAGAATTAAAGTCTGAGATTTTATATATGAAAGTTGTATGATTTTTAGATTAGTATTTTATGGTAAGGTTGGTATATGTTTTTGAATATTGATTGATGTTGTGTACAACACCATTTAATTATTTTTAAAAGAACAACATTGATTATAAAAGTTTATTTTAATTTGAAATTGAGAATCTTCAAAATTTTGATGAAAACATTTCTGGAAAGTTTGCGGTGTTGGTCTCAAAGGTTGACTCACAATTTTGTCACATTGTCAAGGCTTGGCAAAAAAATGGAAAGAAAGACTTTTAATGGACAATTAGAAATTGTCAGGCGTTAAAAACATCAAAGAGGGGAGATGGTGGAGGCTGTCAATTATGTTTTTGTTTTAGATGACAAAGCATTGCGATTGTCAGCCAAGGCACATGACTGTTCAATGTCTAGACATTACCTTAAACGCTTCAGCACAATTTCCTTTTTTCTTCTACAAAGTGTGTGTGAAGGGAGTCTTGAATTTGACATTTTCTAAATGTAGAAAGGACACTGATGTGCTCAGAGATTTCGATTTTACTGCAAAAGGAAACAGTTGTGAAAAGTTCTGATTGAGACTGCAGGCAGTGCACTTCGTCATCAATCATAGGTACTGATAGTTTATAGATATATAGTCGGCACAATGTGTTTATTATTTGGTTGACAATTTAAAAATCATTCTTGTATTTCATATGTCTGTATAAATGAAATGAGTCATGCATTTACAGACGATCCAATTCATTTTAATATTTCAGAAGATAAGAAATATTGTGTGCATGTTTTAACTTTTGTAGACATGCTTATTCAGTAATCAAATCATGTTCAAAACCACATTATGTATAGTTTGTCACTGAAGTTACTTTGACAGAATGTATTTTTAACATTTGAGTACAGTCTATTTTACAGATTTTGTCTCGGCTTACAGGTGTAAATCAAAATACTTGACATGAATTTTTATATTCATATTTAGTGAGTTAACTCAGCAGTTTTTACAATAATAGCAAATGTATTTTGAAAGCATAAAGATCATACCAGTTGTTCCACTCTTACAAATTGTAAAGGTTAAGACTAGGAAGGGTTTGATTATCCAAATACTCTGTCTTTTGTAAATATCCGCTGTAGTGATGTGCAAATATCTGATGAAATCAAAATGAAAGGTAGAGAAACTTTGTGGTTTGATAAGGTATTTGTCGTAGGAGTGAGTGAATCCTAAGTTTGTCAATTGGGAGGGGGAGTGGTTAGGAGTGCAAGTGATGGGCAATGTGAGTGGGAGTAGATTGGTTCAACACAGGTGTAGATATGATGTTTGTCCTAGAAGCTAGATATGTATGGTTGGGGAGGAGGACTGGGACGGTTCAACACAGGTGTAGATATAATGTTTGTCCCAGGAGCTAGATATGTATGGTTGGGGAGGAGGAGTAGGACGGTTCAACACAGGTGTAGATATAATGTTTGTCCTAGGAGCTAGATATGTATGGTTGGGGAGGAGTAGGATGGTTCCACACAGGTGTAGATATAATGTTTGTCCTAGAAGCTAGATATGTATGGTTGGGGAGGAGGACTGGGATGGTTCCACACAGGTGTAGATATAATGTTTGTCCCAGGAGCTAGATATGTATGGTTGGGGAGGAGTAGGACGGTTCCACACAGGTGTAGATATGATGTTTGTCCTAGAAGCTAGATATGTATGGTTGGTGAGGAGGACTGGGATGGTTCAACACAGGTGTAGATATAATGTTTGTCCTAGAAGCTAGATATGTATGGTTGGGGAGGAGTAGGACGGCTCAACACAGGTGTAGATATAATGTTTGTCCTAGAAGCTAGATATGTATGGTTGGGGAGGACTGGGATGGTTCAACACAGGTGTAGATATAATGTTTGTCCTAGGAGCTAGATATGTATGGTTGGGGAGGAGGACTGGGATGGTTCAACACAGGTGTAGATATGATGTTTGTCCTAGAAGCTAGATATGTATGGTTGGGGAGGAGTAGGACGGCTCAACACAGGTGTAGATATAATGTTTGTGCCAGTAGCTAGATATGTATGGTTGGGGAGGAGTAGGACGGTTCCACACAGGTGTAGATATAATGTTTGTCCCAGTAGCTAGATATGTATGGTTGGGGAGGAGGACTGGGACGGTTCAACACAGGTGTAGATATGATGTTTGTCCTAGGAGCTAGATATGTATGGTTGGGGAGGAGGACTGGGATGGTTCAACACAGGTGTAGATATAATGTTTGTCCTAGGAGCTAGATATGTATGGTTGGGGAGGAGTAGGACGGCTCAACACAGGTGTAGATATAATGTTTGTCCTAGAAGCTAGATATGTATGGTTGGGGAGGAAGACTGGGACGGTTCCACACAGGTGTAGATATAATGTTTGTCCCTGGAGCTAGATATGTATGGTTGGGGAGGAGTAGGACGGTTCAACACAGGTGTAGATATAATGTTTGTCCTAGGAGCTAGATATGTATGGTTGGGGAGGAGGACTGGGACGGTTCAACACAGGTGTGGTGGTAGTTATTGGTTGTCTCAGGATCTAGTGAAGACAGAGGTTGGGAGAGGAAGTGTGGCGGTTCAACTCAAATGTATCAGTAATTAAGGCTCCATGCCACCTGTTATCAGTGTAGTTTAACATGAGATTTTTTACAGTATTGATGAGTCATCGAGGTATAAAACAGATTCCACATGTGAAGAGTTGCTCTGATGATGTAATCCTTTTGTAGAAGTAGACGTACTTCGGTACTCCAGTTTGTTTATTACTGTGTATTTAATCTTGTGTTATTTACGTCTCGCAAACAAATGTTGTAAATTCTATATCAAACTCAGCTGAACCAGACACTTCAGTTTAACATCATTAACTATGACAAGTATAATCCAAAATTCCTTTTGTTTTCTATGTGAAAAATTTGAAATTATGTTGTTCCTAATCCACCAAATATCCTTTCATGAGCTTGGAGCTATGTATAGCATATGGTTGTTGTTCAAATAATTTCTGATAGTGAATGATATACAGGAGATGTGAAATTTTAGTTGAGCTACACCATTCAGAGTTAGAAGAGTGTCTGAATCAATAATTCAATTTGCTGTTTAATTTATTATCACAACTGGCCATTACGTGGCTGTCATTGTATTATGTAACATGAACCAGTCAGCCTTTGTCACTGTGAAGCTTCAGTGAAAAAAGTGCCCGTCTGGCTGCTTTAATTTTCTTGAAGAAATGAAAATAGTGTCCAACTTGATTGATTTTAATATAGCTTTCCTTCTGTCATTTCAGGTCACTTTGCCGCGGAGAATGTCTGATAATGTCCGAACTACTAACACAAATGACTATGATGTGCCGCCAACACGAAACCTTAACGACTCTTCATATAACCATTCTTTACATGAACAAACCAATTACGACACTCCACCAAGTGCTAGGAATGAGTCTGGACTAAATACATCCAGTTTTGACCAATCTCTGTATGATACGCCACCCTCACATAAGTCCTTTAGTTCTCCACAGGGCTCTATGTATGATGTACCACCCAGTGGAGGGGAGATGTATGATGTGCCTGCACCTTCATCTAACCGATCAAGCATCCTATCTAATCTGTCACATCTTTCTAACGAGTCAACGATGACTTACAGTAGTAGCAACTTTTCAAATAAAAGTCATAGTCACAACTCAGATCCTGCAAGCATGTGCGACTCTGCTCGTTCAAGCATGGACATTTCTCCACAGGATTTCTACGATGTGCCACCCTCTCATCAGGAATCGCGTCACATGACACTGAATCATAATAAACAACCTTCTGCTGATTCTGGGCTTGACTTATATGACTCTCCACCCAAAGTACGAATGATGCCTGAACCAGCAGATCAGCAGGACTATGATGTGCCGCGCTCCGATTATGACACTCCAAAGTCCATCAGTGCTACAGATGCAGACAGGACATTAGAACGTCAAAAATCTCGTAATCTGTATGATGCATCTAAAACCATTTCTTGTGATAAACCCGATCCAAAGGAACATGATATTGATGATGTGTATGATGTGCCTCCAAGTAATGCTCCTGTGCGGAGCAGACTTCCTTTCCAAACCAAAGGGGAAACAGGTTCTCTGTTAAAAGGGGACACTAGCACCCTTGATAACAGCTGTTCTCTCCTTAGTGATATGAGTCTAAAGGTTGACCCGACAGGTGTTTATGATATTCCTCCCCAGGTTACACGAGATTCTATGCTGTCATCAAAGTCTGAATCATCTGATGGAATTGATGACAAACGTCTATCGATATGCAGTGTTGATTCTCGGAACTCTGACATACCAATTTATGATGAATTGCCACTAGATTTGGATGCAGCTATGGACCTTATGGTAAAACTGCAACAGGATGTTCAAAGGGCTACTACAAAATTGTCAAGTTTTGTCAGCAGTGTCTGGAGAACCAAAAACAACCTAGAACCAAATATCTATGCCATCAAGTTGGCTTCAAATGGGGTGAAAAACTCCCTTGACGAGTTTCTAGCATTTGCGCAAGGCACTTTGGCCAATTCTGCAAGACTTCCTGAGAGTAAACTCATTAATAAATTACATAGACACCTTCATCCCTTACAACAAACATTGGTTAAAGTGAAGGGATGTCTAAAAAATCTAGAGGAGAGCAACTGGCAGCTTACAACGCTTGTAACCGAGGATGCATCAAAGAACGATGATCTCAACACCATTGCCACAGTGTCGAAAGACCTAACAGCTGATGTTAGAAAACTTGTGTCTTTGATTCACGGTAATTCACCACTACTGTTTAAGCGAGCATCTGACATCCCAGGATATGTGGTGGAACCAAGCTCAACTAGCTCTGTGGAGACCTGTTCTGCTGAATCCAAACCTCCAATACAGCCTAAACCTGTATTGCCACCAAAACCAGGAGCTGTGGGCAAGCCAGGGAGCTTACAACACAGACCACTACCTCCACCTCCTCCTAAGGAACGGCCGCTACCCCCAACTCCATCAGACAAGAAAAGCTTGATGGATGGGGATAAGCGCATGTCAGGTGAATTTCAGCGAAATTCTGATGATTTCCGAAGATATTCTGCTGAGTTCAAACGACTTTCAATGGAGTTGAAAAACAAACAAAATGAAAGCAAAGAAAAGGATCTTGTTGAGGAATATGATTATGTGCACTTAGAAGCAAGAGATGTTGATGAGCAAATGAAACGAAAAACCAGTTCAGAAATAAGAGGAGATGTTCATGAAATGCCAGTGCGAGACACTAGCTTATCAGCTAAAACAAACATGGATGCAAAATCATCCGATAATCATATAATACCAACTAATCCTGATATAGACCAACCAGATTCTGATAAAGAAAGAATGGTAGGACCGGTTAATATACGATATGAAAGTCCAAAAATGACACAGACAGTGACACCAACTATTATATTGGACCCTAATGATAAACAGGTGCTTTTCTTTTATTCTGGACAATTGGAAACACATTCAACGCTTCTCATGAATGCTGTTGATGCTTTCTTTGCATGTATAGAAAAATGCCAAGGTCCAAAAGTGTTCATATCACATAGTAAGTTTGTGGTGGTGTCCGCTCACAAGCTCGTGTACATAGGAGACAGTCTTCACAAAAATCTCATGAATAATGAGATCAAAAACAAGATCATGCATTGTGCAAATCATTTATGTAACTGTCTGAAAGCAGCAGTCACAACGACCAAGACTGCTGCCCTTCAGTACCCATCTGTTCCAGCAGTACAGGACATGGTTGACAGAGTTACAGACGTGTCTCATGCTGTGTATGAATTAAAACATGTGATATCACAGGCAGCGGCTTTATAGCACCCAGTGTGAACATTCATTTGTAGGTTTAAACTTTTTTTTTCATTTTTTTTGTTTTTGTTTTGAATTTTCAGCCTTTCACAAAATAAAAAAAAATCGAACTACATATTATAAGAAGAGGGAACCGTCCAGTACCACGCCATTGTATCAGTGTTTAATGTGATTAAGGGGAGGCAACTTTTATAAAAATATTTCAAAGGAAAAAGTACTTTACGCGGGAGGTAACTCCTTCTTTCTTTAAATGTTACTCTCAGATCTCTTTATAAAAAAGTGCTGGTTCTTTTTAGTTTATTTTTGTTCTACATTTCCTCCATGTTTTTGTTTGAATATGTTACGTTTGAGAAGTCATGGTGATGTGCTTGTATGTTGTGTTAAAATTATTAAGTGATGCGATGGGACTTCAATGTCTAATAAATTGAGACATTTAATACAATTTGTAAAAATTAATGAAAAGTTTGTTGTCAAATGCATTTTCCTTGTATATCTGCATTAACTAAGTTCAAGCAGAAAAGTTTTTTTTGGTTGCTATGCCAATTTATACTTTCTGAAGTAGAATAAGTAATTTTTGTTTATGTATTAAATTTCAGTTAAAGATAATTATGTAATAATATCTGTGGTACAAAATTTGGATTCAATATGAAATAGTCTGAACTTGTCATTATCAGGTAAATGAGAAATGTTTTAGGATTTACATTGATAATTGAAAGCTATTCATTTGTTATAAAAATCATTATATTAATTTTCTGTTTCAAGATGATCTTTCGTCTTATTTATTTTGGTTAGACTCTATAGGTGACCAACAGTAAATTGTACGTTTGTACGAGGTTGGAGGTGTTTCATAGTTTGTCTAGATTCTCTTAAAAACCTCATTGTTCATTGATGTCAACCTAATTAGTTCAAATGTTTATGTGATTTCAAAGATGTATATGACCAAAAAATGTTCATCAAAAAAAGGGATAATTACAGTTTTTGAAACAGGACATAATTTGTATCTTCCTGATAGTAACTCTTCATAATTGGAGGTTAAAAATATATTATTGGAGCTATAATAAGGAAAGTCTGTGATGTCTTGATAAAAAGAAGAGAAAATGATGAAATGAATTGTACATATTGAAATATATTTTAATATAACTTAACGACAAATAAAAAGTGACTCTGCTACATTATGCTGGGTTAATTTATTTGAGAAATAGATCATCACTGTTGCCGTGTATCAGTTTTTGATCTTATATATATATTTGTATATGTAACACTGTCTACATTTGTACTAGAAAGTGCCTTTATTTAATCGTTGCCTTATAAAACATGCATCTTTATTAGGATATTCAGTAAGATCTGCGTGTCCAGAAAAGATCAGGATTCTTTGTAACACCATGTCATCATTTTCATTTCTTATTCTTACTTATAAACAGATTCTTACATACGTCAATTCAAAAATGTAGATATCTGGCTCAAAGGGAGATAACTTTAATTGTATTCAATATCACAACAGATGTAGTTTTCATTTCAAATATGCTTGTATTTGATAAATTGTTGTTATATTCTTAGTGTTGTTAGTAATAGGAAACAGTAAATTTCAAATCAAAACAGGACACATGTTGTTACCCACAATAAATTCAAAGCTCTTATATTACAAGGTTCAGATTTAAATGGTAAATTCTACCAAACAAAATTTGATAATTCTACTGCCATTTGAATGATTTAAAATAAAGGATAGTCATAGGTGAAACAAATTTTATATCTCCCTTTGATATTCTTTAATGCTTAGTTAAAGTAATATATCTATAGAAAGGTTAACTTGAGATTGACCTCAGGGTGACCTTATGTTGACCTTTGTGTAAATGTTACTATTTATAATATAGCTGCCAGAGAAGCAATGTAACCAGCAGATGTTTACATCTCTATAAGGTTTATGTGTCTATATTGCTGAGCAATAAAGTTACGTATGATAATATGAATCAGTTGTCTGTGTTTTACTCTCACTTTTCATAATATTCTTCATATCGATCCGACAACCTGCATCTAGAAGACATGTATTTATCATTGGCCCTATCATCAGGAACACCATTGAGCTATTCCAACATGACCACTTCTTAAACTAAGGGCAAATTTCGTTCACTATAACAATGGTGTGCTATGATAGGTAACGTGACCATTCTTAAGACCAGGGATATTAGCTAATTTAGTTACTGTTACGCACTGCCATTTAAATTGAAATTTTCTTCTAAATTTTGTCAACTTTGAAGAGCCAGCATGAAGAAAAACAAACAAAACCAAAGGACAATTCACACTGGCAACGGTTCTTCTTTGATGTACATACCTGCAGTACTCGTGTTATTGTATCTGTTATGTTACCTGCGGATTTGATGTACCGACCTAGACCAAAACTTTCTGTCTCCAAAATAATAGTTAATGTTAATATTAACATTTATTATGATGTTATTGATATTTACATTTTTCTATATCTAAGATGAGCATAGTCAATGAAAATGTATAAAAATCAGCATGATAAATGTGAATATTGACACTGAATTATCATTTTAGAGACCGAAATTTTCGGTTGAGTGCAGACCGTCCTAGATGTTAAACATCAGGAGAAAATTTCTTCACATTGGAACTTAAGTAAGATAATATATCAGAGTTCTATCATTCTATAATAAGAACATCCTTTTCTGTAAGTTTCCATGCTCATACTTTGTAATTGCCAGATAAGTTTACTTTGCCAAAAGTTTCTGTAAGACAGCTAAATTATAACAAACAAAGGTTACCACACTGACACATGTCTTTAAGCTTCTGATATTTGCGTGTATCAAACAAAGTGTTTCTGAATATATTATTTCGTTAATTAGGGACTCGATTTATCTCGCTTTATATTAGTACAAATTAATTAAGCTGCCGACTCGTCATATCCTTTCACTTTCGTCACAAGCTGACTTTGCGGTCATAAATGATCTTTGGATTTGAGCAAGGCTGAAGTCAACTATATGACTAACTAAACTGTACTAGAATGTACAAATCCATCAAACGATCAGTTATTCACAAACGCCATTCTCACATAAATACATTACGTTGATCTACTGTCTAATTCCATGTCACGCAAACGTTCAGCTTTCACATAGACACTTTAAACACAGGATCATTCTGGTGCGAGAATGGGGAGGGGGTAGAAGTCGTGCACGGTATATCTCGAGCAGGGGACAATTCCACTGTCTGTCCAGCAGTAAAGCCCAGTCTTGTGAGTTCGGAGATAAGCTGCCATCATCCCGAACCCACTGTTTGACAGTAATAGAATATCACATGATGTCAGGAACAAAAAGTCCAACAACTGTTTCCTAAAACCTTCACAAACATCTCCTCGCCGATAGCTCGACTGGTCGATATGCATGATACTTCCTTGGATGTCGATGAAATTATGCTTATATCTCTCCCGTGACATTTTTCTGACCGAATCATCGTCTGTTGCTATGAATATATTGTAAATATTCGTGTCTAATTTGTCAAGAAGAGACCACACTACCTTTAGGCGGTTCTTATCACTTCTTGGACGGTCATTTCTCATACTTGGGTTGCCTCCTATCCTCAAATGGGCACAAGCGGTTTTGCTTCTTGTAGCATTTTTCCGTATATTAGTCAAGTCTTGAACTATTTCTTGTGAAGGTTTGAATAAAGTATTAAAAAGCTTGAAATATATATCCGAAAAGTGTAGTTCTGTTATCCAAGCAGCATATTTCTGTATGTTTGGATATTTCCTAAACTGTCTAGTGAGGTCCCAGTTCATACGAATATAAGCAACGTCACTTTGAAAATATTTGTACAATCCTTTCGGAGTCAGCTCTTTTCCCATCTTATGATAACGACTGTTTGTAAGAACATGATATGATGTAGATTTATTCTCGAAATCCGAATGTCCAATTGTCCAGTCGTACAGGTTTGGTCTGAGGTACTCCGAGAGTACACAGGGACTATCGAAATTGATCTTGAATGTCCTGTTAGTGAGAGTAGAGAGAACAAGCGTTGAGAGGATTCCCGAGAGACGGTCCGACCATCCGCCACAGTTCTCCTTGTGAGATTTGCTGCAGTCGTAAACCAGATATCCATTCGAGCCATCTGATTGTAATCCCATGGTATCATTTCCCCAAATATTTAAGTCGACATTGAACTGATTTTCCGTTTTTAAATCGTTTGAGGTTGTCACATCACTCTCTTTTCCTTGGGATTGGTATGGTTCCGCTGTAAATTTGGAGTCATGGGACATATTCGCTAGGCTGGCCTGTATTTGTTTTGATTTCAAGCCTATAGTAGAAGTAGTTTCGTCACCAAAATGTTTAGTTTGCTCCCAGTCGGTACTATTACTGACAACATCCCCGTCGCTTGTGTTAAGATTCAGACCGTCACTTGTTTTGATAACAGGTTGTTTCCATTCTTGCGAAATTGAAGCAGACACATTCAACTGGACAATATGAGTCAACCTGTCTTTGTCATTTTGTTTTGAAGAACGTTTGGACACATTGATTGAAAGTTGACGGTATTCGAAAGGACCGTCTTTTATCTTACAATCTTCAGGGTTTAAACTTTTGCACTTTATGATTGATGCTTGATAGCTTTTAGAAAGTGAATCTTTCAGAGGAATTGCTTGGGTTTTGCGTAAAACTGACGATGTTCTTCCTAAATTTCCTGGCGGATTTCCTGCTAAGAAGATGTAACGGAGCTCAAACTCCCCCTGCCGGTAAAGGATGATGGCCACAATGATACATACCATCAGTAAGATTGTAAACGTCTGCAGCAACGCTTCCTTCATTAGCGACAATCTAAAGTGGATAGAAAATGGAACTTTGCAATACGGAAGTCAGTAGGACAATTGAGAAGTCAGTAGGACAATTGAGAAGTCAGTAGGACAATTGAGATCAATTTTGTTTAATAAGCAGATTTCGTGAATTTCCTACCTGTGATTTAAACAAACATCAGCCAAGAAGAAAAGACATTTGTTTCAGAAAAAAAAACTATTTCTTACAATGTTAACATGAAGAAAAGGGTTTGGAATTTATACCCGTAGGCATACAGACAAATTGACTATTTACAATTCTTTTCAAAACAGAATATAAATGATAAGTATATACAGTATTCACTGACGTCACACTGGCAGATATTAATTGATCTATATAATGACTTTACTCGTAGAATGACTTTCTACGTTACTAATTATTTTCAATGCATAGTTAGGTAACACGTTGGATTAGATACCATATATGGTATAAATGGTAGTGAGGTTTATTATCCTGAACAGCTGGTTAGAAACACATATTATCAGCCCATACTCATGTCTGTACTTTGGCAAAGGAATTATAGCTCTGATAACAGATTACAAACAAGATGTATTTATAAAACACTATATACCCCCAGTTGCAACAAAAATCTTAAGTGTGACATTAAAACTGTACTGTGTAAGGCATGTGCTAATTGCATGCACACGTTGTGAAACACTGATGTCTTTCAGTGCAATAGTTAAGGCCAATGTTTAAGTTTTCCAAATGTAGGTCAAAGGTCACGGTCAAGATAACATGGTCAAATATTTTGGTACCTCCGGAAAAGTCTTGTCATAAGGAACACATATGATAAATAGAAAACCTTATCTCTTACGGTGCAGTAGTTATTGGCAAGGATACAGTTGACAACAGACAAACAAACAGCACAAAAACAACATATCCCCAATCTTTCTATCCGGGAGCATACCAAACAGTCTATGCCACAGCGCAACACGATTAGTGCACTACAGAAACGAGATAATTACTCACTGACTCAGATTATTCTCGATCGTATTTAAGTGATATAAACTTGTTCATCTAGCTCTTGTAAAATAAACATCCCCTCCGCAATACTCACGTTTAGGTACTGATTCTCTAAAAAGTTTAAGTTGCTGCTAATATTCGGGTCCTATTTGTTCGTTGTGCACGTTTGGTCACCGATCATATTACAATACTGATTACACACTCCTAATACGATATAAGCTGTTATTCCATTGTAAAAACATTAACAACAAAGACGCCTTGAACAAAGACATATAAAGCCTGATCTGCCCTCTGTCTGTGTATCTATACCCGACCATATACAAAAAACTTCCTATCTAAATGGTATTTCAATAGGACGTTAGGGTATAGTAACACATTATTAATTGTCATTGAAGTAAGATATACGTCACGGTATACAGTCCATACATTACAGACCTCTAAATTATATTGTTATCCTAGCTGTAACAATTATAAATTTATATCGGAATCAGTTAGAAAATCGTGTGTAACATTCCGATGACTGCTCCAGTCAAATGGCAGTGTGAAACGAGTTGGCACTGCGGTATACAATGTACGTGAATTAATGCACAAGACTTTTCGACTTTATATTCTTTTATACACTAAGGTAAGTTATGATGGTTACCGAACTAAAGAAAATGATCCGAGATTATTCAGACTGGTGTAGTTAAAAAATTGACAGTTTGCATACCGTGACAATTGAGACCTTCCTAACTAATATTATCTGTAACACCTTAGTGGCGATTTAAAGATGTAAATGTTGCATTTTACTTCCTCTTCGGGAGGAGAGTTCCATATATCCTTGTTACGGAATTGGATCCTGCTGTCCCTGCAGGTCACTCTTATCTGAAATGTTTCACATGGTTTCTTCATGTTCTTGTTTTATTGGTCAAGGCCAAGTCTATATATTTAGAATTGAACCATGTCGTTACGCCCTCTCATGTATTCTGGTGATGGCAGCTCTGTGTGGTCTATTTTTCTTCATAGTTGTGGAACGTACCGTAAGTCTTTGTATTGAAAAAAATCTGTGTTATATCGTTGATGAAGATGAAGAGGCATATTCTAAACTGCTTTATACAGCGTTGAAAATAGTGTTTTGTACAGGTATATGAGAGTTCTCACAATGACTCCTAAAATCCTTGGAAACACATCTTCAGACATAGATGTTGGATTTTATGCCAAGATCTATTGTTCCACCCAGGTAATTATCTTTATTCATCTGTTCGGGATATATTAAATTCTCAATTAGCTTCTTGGTAGGGTTGGTGACTGTAAGATTTTTGGAAATTTTCGGCTGCAGGTCCTATAATGACAGAAATGAGTTGTGAGGCGGCTTCCGTATGATTTCTTTGTTTATAGACAAAACAAAAAACCCCAACAAACAAACAAACAAAAAAACAAAAAATACAAAACAAACAAACAAATAAAAACAAAAACAAAAAATACAAAAGAAAGCAGAACAACCGTAGTTAATTTCTGTATAAACAATACTATTTTGTTGAAGTCAGGTAAGCCAGATCATATATCGAGGGAAAATATTAATTATATTTCAGTGATGGAGCATGTGTTATTGTAGGTATGAATATATATAGATATTGTCACATAGCTACCACACAATGCAGTCTACTATGACGGAAACACGGATCATGCTCTTTGTTTCTGGGCATGCGTGAATACCCTACCAACAACAGTTAAAGCCCAGATATGAAGAAGCTACGCTCTATCACATAAGTTTATGCTGTTAAACATCGCGTTTTAATTTCTTGTGATGTACTATAGATATTTATTTACCACGTATTCACTTGAGGAATATGGCACTCTAAAGGTTTCAGTGGATCAAACTCGCGATAGCCTTATATATTGATATTTTTGTTATAATAATTACTTTATCAGTCATGATGTAACATGTTGTTCCATAAATATTTTAAAATTTTGCAATTAAAGTCGACACAAAGTCCGTCACACACACACGAGGGTACCGCCATGTTAGTTAGGTCGATTGCTGGCCATCCAAAACTTATACATAATGTTCAAGAAATCGAAAGAACTCTGCTAATCTCACTTATATCAGTAACATTCAGAACTCTCAAATGACGTAAATTCACATTTATATCGTATTGTATATCATAAATAACGTAGACATCCGTAAGCATATTACCTGACAGTAAAGGTAAACTGAAGTGTGACCTTGATTTCGGTTTCTGTTTACATATATATCTAATATGTCATCTAGTAGGATAAGTTGGTTTTTGAACAGAGGCAAGTAAAACAAAGCATTGTACTTTTTTGTTAGGTATTTCATAGCAAATTCTATGGAAGCTGACGAGTTACCAGCGAAACAACTTGTCTCGTGACATTTTAACGACGCCATGCTCGTGACATTTTTAACAACGGAAACAAAACCGTTAAGTATTGCATTGATACAGGTATTTTATTTTGCTATAGAAAAAGACAATTTCCTTGAAGGTGTTCTGTCTGCATCAACGTCATGGCGGTTTGAGAAAGAGGACTCACAAGCACACATATAATGTTTTGTATGGAGTAGGGGCAATCATTAAGAAACGACTCCTACACCTCGAAATTCGAATAACTATTGTTATCAATCATCCAAAGCAGAGAGAGAGAAAATGACTTACCGGTGCTTTCCTAATTGGAATGCCAGCTCACAGGTTATGGAACCTTAATATAATTGTGGACGGATTTAGAGGTAGAAAGCATACAAGGGCTGGGATACACCGTGTGCAATAGAGATCAATACGAAGATAAATGAAGTACCAATTAGGGTGAAATAGTTATCTAAAAAGGAGTGGCTGTGTTATATATAAAGGAGATGGATGTATTACTCCTTATGCCAGCAGTGCATCTTTATTCTTAAAATTCTGCGGATTAGTTTTTCAGATTTTCTGATCACAGAGACTAGATTCGTCTGTTAATGCACACAATATAAATATTCAAGGGCGCATACTTGAATATATAATGAGCATGTTGAGAGACAATGATAGTACATGTTCTCTGTTACAAAATCGTATAGGTCTTCTGATAAAAGTCACTTTTATTTAACACTTAGAAGTATCATTTGGCTAGTTTGCTACTACATATATGTCATAAATGGTATGTACAGGACAGTTTATTTTAAAATCCCATGAAGGAGATACTGACGACGAAAAAATGTTACATCGTATAAGTATTCCTAAACAATTCTGATATTTAAACGGGCCAAGTATTACAATGTCCTCTTACTTGTCACTTCCTAGACCTACGTGTTAGGCACTCTCGTTGGTAAAAGATCCAATATGACATGAATCTATATTTACATAGATGCATATAATGTCATAGCCAATGGCTGTCGTTTAAGCGCGCGAAACACCAATGGGCATACTCGGCAGAACCACTATTTCGGTCTTCCTAGACTATCGGGGATTCTTACAGGCCTGTCATACGTTTTTTTCTGGAATGAGGCAATATTTTTGGATATATATGTTTGTATAAAACTAAGAAGAACAATTGAAGTGTACCGATCAGGGGTTAGCAGGAAAGCACGGATGTTTGCCCGCAGGAACATCAAAGAAGCATGACTTCTGATTCCAACAACTTTTTTTAATGTGTAACAAAAACCAGTGACGTAATACACAGAAATATCAGAGAAGGATCCGGATTGCGGACCGGATTATCATTATTGATCCAATACATTACAACAATGATAACGATAACAAAGATATTAAATGAAGTACTATTTTACGAAGTTAAGATCAAGTCGCATTTTACTTTGTTAAGTAGAGTTATCTCTCTTTACCTATAACTAGAGTTATCTCTCTTTACCTATAACCAATCATGTGAAACCATTTTTAAACCATCTAAATGTGACCGAAATTACATATTATTCTAACCACGTCAAGTGAATGTTCTGTATATGACGTCACGAAACACGTAATATTACGTAGTCTGATATGAATTATGACAAAGACATATAGCGAGTGTAGGTAGTATCAGGTATTTCATTATAGTAAACAAATGAGACCAAATATTTTGCAAGAAGATATATTTAACAAGGTATAGGGGACTCTTGCTTTGTGGGTTACTGTACTTGTTGTGTTCCGAACTAGTCCGTGATGATTCGTGCGGTTTCCCTATCTTATCTTTCGCACAATATCGGGAGGTTTTCTAGGAAAAAGATACTAATCGCGCAGTCAATCAGACCTTTGTCATTTACACACGCTGTCTCAATGATAACAACGTTATCATGCAACTGTGTGAACGAGAATATTTATAGTAATGGCCGCCATTACTGGGACTTCAACTACACATTTTTACAACTATATGTACGGATGCTCCCCCCACCCCTCATTTTTGGTCGGATAACGACCATAGCAATCGCCCTGAAAACCCACGAGACATTCGTTTTTTTCGGTAGTGGAGGGTCACAGTTCGCTGACAGAATTTAATCCCCAGTAAGAACTAAATCACGAAGAAATCTGACTGGACATTCTTTATCAGCCAAATTATTTATTATCTTGGATTGGAAACCTTATGAAACTTCGAAATGGAATGGTTGTGTTGGTAAATCGCTCTGTTCTGATGTTGCAACATATTTTTTTTTAAATAATACACGGGCTTAGGCTGATGAATAAATTAGAAAATTTTATACAACGACAGGTAACTAGGACACTTCAAAGGCGTGTGGTTTAGAAGCCGTGCCGTGGCCTAAATTAAACAGCATCTCTATGCAGCCCATTGTAATAACTGTTTTAGCTGTTTCAACAAATCAGGTGGACGTGGTATGTACGGATTTTTAACCTCCGTTCCCCTACCCACGTCCTCCCTCACCCACCCACGTCATGCACGCGGCAATTTAATCGCTGACCAATGAAAGATACAGGGGTTAAGAGGAGTGATGAGATTAACACAGCCTATTTTGATACATTGTGACTGAGAGGAAAAGCACGCATGCGGCTATTTTTTATAAAAACAAAATCTTCATTTTCGGTTTAGAATTTTTCGTCCCGCAGCCTAACCTTGATTTTTCCTGCATGTGGTATGTTTAGCACTTGGGTCGCGAGCGGGCCCGATCTCTCGATCTGTGCTTGCTATAAATTCACATCGAACACCATATCATTTTTTATTGAAGAAAATACACTGAATAATTGAAACAACAAAACAAAAAAAACGGGTCGGGTGGCACAGTGGTAACGCACTCGCCTTTCACCTAGCCGTCCGGGATTCGATTCCCGGAATGGATGTGAAAAGGTGCCCGACCACGTGTGTTTTTTTCCCGGGTACACCGGTTTCCTCCCACAGTAAGACCCTTTGCGCGCTCCCATCCGACCCAACACGAGTGATTTATATAAGTTGGAAAAACTTTCTTCGCAATTGTTGTAAAATAAATGAAGTTTATTATTATAAATGCATAAAATAATATACAATGCATAACAAAAAAAAAAAAAAAAAAAATCAATGGATTTAAATCCAACAGTTCTAGTATCGAGGGTAAAATGTTACACGAATACAACTATAAACAAGAAAATACCAACATCTTACCATATTCATAATCCAAACTAAATTCAATAAATTAGTGAACAAAAGAAAAAATTACAAAAAAAGTTAATGGAAAGTAAACAGGTTTTCGAACGCACATATAAACGGAACCAACAGACACTATATCGAGTATCAAAGTAAGTACAACAAGAAATACAAGTTTAAGGGTAAAGCGTAAGTGTTATTAACCATTGATTGGTTGATTGGATTTATATGACTCATTGACAGCCAGGGTCGTTTTGGACAAACTTATTTGAAAACAGTTAGATAAAATTGATGGTAAATTAAAAGGACAGCATGTGGTAAGTTTATCTAATTAGCAAGAAGTAAAAACAAAAACAACAAAAAACAAAAACAAAACAAATGATTAATAGGGTAGTCCAGTTATAAAACATATGGCTCTCTAACGTTATTCAATATCTTATCCAGCTCCATGAAGAGGCTTTTCAGATCTGGGACCTTGAAATAATTGTTACGAATTTGTAAACAATCTGAAAAATAGATTAAAAAATGTTCAACTGACAGCAAGGAATCACATGCATAACAACCTAGTACACTCTATAGAAGGAAACAAGGGATAAGATAATTATGTCTTGTTCCCAGCTGAGAAAGAGCAACCCCTCTATACGATTTGCCTGTTTAAAGAGGTGTGATTTGAGTTCCTGAATTCAAAATAAATTGTCTGTTGTAGTCATCGTTGCTGCCAATCACCTCTGACAGAACCAGAGATGTCTATTGTAAGGTCCGTATATGGCAGTTTCGTGTGAGTCTGTACCTGCGCCGTTTGGGACATTTTTTGCTGTCCTGTCATCCTTTTCATTACCAACGCTTCCACTATTGCCTAGAATCCACAACAACATTATACGCTTTGTTTTGAATTACGATTTATATGAAGTACCATGTTTCACACCACTGCTTTTTTGGCACTATTAAGTTTTATATATAAAGAAATACAAAACCACATGCGTCGGTACAGAATATAGTTTATAGTATATAGAATATAGTTTAAGAATAATCAGTTAAACGGTGTAAATATATATTTCCTGAAACAGTATGCTGCAGCAACTCATTTGTATTGTATAGTACAGGTTTTGAAGGAGAATTTGAGAGGAGTCTAGAGATGTATGTTTCGTATCGATCCGGAATTGTGGCTGCCTTGCCATGGTCATACAGTGACCAGTCAACTTCATCTGTTTTGATAATTTACGATTGGACAACAAGAACTATGTCCGAAGGCTGTTTTTAAAGATAGTGAATATGGATAGTGACGTTTCTGTACACATAAATCAAATATTAAAATCCGATTTTTGTTATGGTTGATTACATTTGCATAGTTAGAATAAATACTTTGATCAAATGTAGGGGTGTAATTAACCGCGTTAATTACAGTAGGTAAGTCCAATATGTATAAGTATTGGATTCAAAGGCAAAATCAAAAACATGTTAAGCGCCCTCGCCTTAAAAGTTCTTTGTCCCCTTTTGTAAGAGCTTGAGATCCGTTTTTCTTCCGAAACCGTTTCGTCTCATAATAGTTCCGTTCCATTTTCTGTCTTTTGAGATGACTTGTCTCAGAACCTTGAATACCACCATACAAACATTCATCCAGCATTTGAGAATATTTCTCCTGAAGAACGGCAACATCTAACAGACTGAAAATAACCAATGTTGTTATAATTTCTACTAACCATTAGAACAGGCTTAAGATACATAGCTTAATTGTGAAAAGCATTTCCAATTATAAACACGTGCAACGCCTGTAAAATTTTAACACGACGTGATATATAATGAGCGGAGTCTTTTGTCATTACATAATGAAATTAGATTGTGAATATAAAATGAACACATATTGAAAGACATTTAGAAAACGATATTTACTTAGATATACAAATGTACATGTTCTATACTTTGAATAAAGCCATACATTTGCCCTATTTTGCTGTATATGGTCTCTCAATTATTGACATAGTCTTGCAGACATTTATTTGATGTTTTTTCTCTGATTTAATATCAAGCTATATACAATTTTGTTATAGATTTAAAGGTATAAACCACATATACCCTAAGAACATACCATTTCGTTTCTTCATACAGAAGAATAAGGCATTTTGCAGATTCCATCAGAATATTCAGCAAGCGATCCGAACACGGCCGTTCCATAAACAGTGATGGATTGTCTCGGAGCATTTTGTTTACCAACCTTTTGTCGTAATGACATTCAACATGGCAAAGCCGACAAAGGTCCGTGAGATTCTTTCTGTGAAGTTTTCGTGTCGGTAACTTCATCTCTATTGATTCCTTTACCAAGTAAAGTGTCTGTGGATAGATAATTCCTACTAACATCTACCTTGGTTACGAAAAATATATTATCATTTAGCGAGTTGGCTATTTGGGGAAAACAGAGCAAATCATTAAAATATTGACAAAATCATAATTCAAGATTAATTACGTTCACGGAGGACAAAATATGAACAAAACAGAGACTTCCGTAGTGAAAATACAAAGTGAAAGGAAAATGGGTCCAGCTGTTCGGGGAGGGTTTCGTTGGCGACACGCGCCATTTAAATTTTTATCAATCTATTTATTTCGTGAGAAGAATCCTGCACCACGAATTATATTCTGATCATGTGATAACGTTCATTGGATGCTGTGATGTTAAAATGGTGTTGAAAGCAATACTTTACCTGTGGGTCAAACACACCATGGAGACGCAATCTGCTGAATTGCCAAAGTAGCTTGCTGTCGTGCTCTGGATGAAACATCACCTACATGAGAAAATATACAAACTGATATACATAGACACATGTTGCGGTTTCCTCCCACAGTAAGACCCCTTGTGCGCTTACATCTGGGCCATTAAGAGTGATTATTATAAACTTGTTTTGCAATTGCTGTAAAATAGATAGAAGTTGATATTTTATGCTGAGCAATTTAATATAGATGCGTGTATCTTATTTTTTGACTTTCTAGGGCCTTGGACATAATAGTGTGGAACTTCATGATTGCCTGCTGAGACAAATTTGGATTTGGAAATTAATTTATTTGGTGGTTTAAAACTGTTTATACAAATATTTGTGGTGTACAACAATAATTGGTGTACAGAAAAAATCATGCGATAAAACGTGCGATAAAGCAAGGTTGCTCTTTGTCTTTTTATTTTTGTAAAAGTGGTTTAAGTGTTAGCAACTGAAATTCGGCAAGATTGGAAAACGTGAAAATAATACAAAATACAAAAGTCATCAAAACCGCTCAAAAAGCGGATGACACAACATTACATTCAAAGTTCTCGGATATACCAGTAGCTATTCAAATGGTTGAAGATTTAGGTCATTTTTCTATTTTATAGCTTAACAAAACTATGACGGATGGACTTTTGTTGGGAAATAATCAAGGTATATACAGTGACTTTATGAAGAAATAAAATGGACGCGAGATGACATGAAGTTCTTGGGCGTATTCTTAAGAACCAATAAAAAGTTATTGTCAAATAAATCGATAACTGAAATGTTGAGGATTCGGCAAAAAGAAAAGTTTCTTCAATTTGGAAAATGACTTTACTTGATACATTTATAATAGCGAAAAAATGCATATATAGTCTGTACAGAGGTGATTAGTGTGGATGTGTGAAGGAACTTGAACGTCAACCAAATCCCTGATCTGGTTCATGGATTTTTGTTAACATAATAGAATCGTGGATAAAATTAGAAAACAAATGATATTGGGAAATGCAAACATTATGATAAACGGCCGGACCTTAATTTCCAGAACTGGATCAACAGTAATATGCTATTTTAGAAGATATAAAAGAGATGCGAAAGGCAAATTAAATGATATATGATAGATTTGTAAATAAACAAAATTGGGTGAGTGAAATCATGCATGTCCAAAGAGCAGTTCCTAAAACGTACCTTGTAACCCTTCAATCTCCAACCTTTTCTAAAAATAAAGTTCATTTTTCTAGTGAAGGATCGTTAACAATTTAGATAAGCTGAATAACAGGGATATTCATAGTTTAATCATTCAATTATAAAATGTAAGAAATAACAACATCGATAGGCGGATCGATTACTTTACATTATATCCATAAACTAAATACTACAGCAATCCCAGGATTTTACAGAAACTAATTGCCTTGAATCCTCCATATAATTCCACTCCCAACACCCACCTCTCCAAAAGATGCACGTTGATAAAAACAACGGGGAAATTTTATGGTCGTCACGGCGATCTCATTGAGATATATTCTATTTCTTTGTGCGACATGACGCTGGACGCGTTTGCTGCTCATTAATTTGCATGTTGGTTACGTTGTTGTATACCTTGTTCTTACTTGAGAATGTGACATTACTTTGACCAATGTTTAAAAGTTGGTTGTAGTCGATGAAACAGACGATGCTTCTTACCCTTCCGGAGCACCTTGTTTTATTATGCTCCCCGAAGGGAGAGCATATAGTTGCCACTTTGTCCATCCGACCGTCTATAAAACTTCATAGGTAGATATATCACGCAGGGAGAAGTGAAGATCACAAATGCCATCGCTCTCATGATAATTTAGGAGTTAATGTCCTTTGCTATTTTTCATATTTTGTCCCAATCGGGGAGTATAACCCGTTTCTGACGGCCCTTGTTTTTGTACGTTTTCATGAGGCTCCGTGTAAATCTTTCTTTTGTTCATATTTTGTTCTAATTTTCTTTAACTTGAAGTTGGATTATGATGACATATATATATATATATATTTTTTAACGTCGCTTAAAGTCTTGTAAAGAGCGATTCTGGATAATCGTGTTTATTTCAATAAAGTAAGAATGATTTACCAAAAAAAAGTTTTTCTTGTGTGTCTGTTTATCACTACAGAACCCCTATGACTTCTGTTACTTCTGGGAAATGGAGAATTCGCCTTATGAATGATAAAATATATGCTTAATAAAGCGATACACGCGCCTATAACGTCAAATTTGTTGTTTTTGTACATATTTTCGGTGTCGAAACATTGTTTATCTTGACAATTGTTTATAAACATTTTCACGCTCGGTTTATTACGAAGAAAGCCGAGTGGATCACATGTCTTTTCACTGACGGAGTCATTTACTTCCGCCGCATAGAAAAAATGGATTTCGAGGAAAGTGTAAACAAACGCACATGTCTTATGTATGATACTTGCTTTTGCTTTTTAAAAATTAATCTTAATAATTCGTTTTGTTTAGGCTGGTCGTGCGAGAATTATCTATGTCAATCGCGGGCGCTAAACTAGTGGGGAACCAAATAGGGTAATTACAATAGGAAAAGAAAACTGATTGTGCAGAAAAGCACAGGAATAGATACTTTGTCTGTACACATTAATAGATATTGTTTACCATTCAACATGTGTCTATGTGTTTATCACCACGGTCATTATTCTCACAGTAACACCAGTACCGTCATATTTTTACACTTAAAACGAATACCCGCAATTGGGCCCCACCATGCAGTCAACAACAAACACACGTTGTCGATAGTAAATTCAAGCGAATAACACAACTATTTCCATTCACAACTATCAGATAACACTTTTAGTAATGTTGTTCATAACATATGCACGCGTCAAACACTGGATATTGGATTATAATCAATGACAGGCGGATACGTAATAATTATAGGACTAACGTTAAGCTAACCAGTCAAGTAGCAGCTTCGCAAATTCCGAATCCGTATTCAGTTCAAGATCTTCCATCTTTCGCCATCTATCGATCTCCCGTCTGTTTTAAATTCTTGTCTGTCCTCTTTTTTGGTCTGACTCCTTCCTCTTACGCTTTCTGGTACTTTCTGTCAGGTAACTTTTAGGTCCTCGTCGCGTTTTCGTATTTGCGTCCGCCATATTGCTTCTTCCTAGGCTTATACGCATGCGCAACATCAGGGTTACGAGCGGTAATGCATGAATTAGATCAGGACCGCAATGTTTACATTCTTTACTTTTTAGATATCAATAAAAAAATGGTTGCAGTGACTTTTAATTTCAGTAATTAACAGAGAGTCTTAGTTTTGTAACATACTATTGGAAAATAGAACATTTCATTTCGTTTTCTCGTTGTGTTTTTTAACATTATAGTCGCTTTAAGGCAGAGTTACATTCCTTATTTTCCTTTTCATGAAAATTGTTACGAAAATTTTAACTTATATTTTAATTTAAATATGACAGTAAAGCCAGAATTCAACATACCTTAAGTGGCCGATCTCTCGCCATAAGAGCTTGGAAGTGATCGTCATGAAGTATACTTGGACTTTTAAGGACATCAAAGATGCATACCTTACCGCTGATACGCCTTACAATAACCAATGATATAATCGTCTCGGAAGGATTCTCCGGATCAAGTCCAGACTCTATTCTGACACCGAGTAATTCTTCATTTAGCATTTCGCCCAATTCCTTACGTGCCCTCCCGGGGTCAAGTATCAAAGTGGGCATTAAGAATTTAGAATTCATAGTGATGACTGGAATAGAAAATATTGTACAGTACGGTCTCGAACTGTCCTTTCTCACACATATTGTACAGTTGATATAGATTACAGAACGGACCCCAACCTATCCTTTCTCACACATATTGTACAGTTGACATAGATTACATAACGGTCTCAAACTGTCCCTTTTCACACATATTGTACAGTTGACATAGATTACAGAACGGACCCCATCCTGTCGTTTCTCACACATATTGTACAGTTGACATAGATTACAGAACAGTCCTCAATCTGTCCTTTCGCACACATATTGTACAGTTGACATAGATTACAGAACGAACCCCAACCTGTACTTTCTCACACATATTGTACAGTTGACATAGATTACAGAACGGACCCCATCCTGTCGTTTCTCACACATATTGTACAGTTGACATAGATTACAGAACAGTCCTCAATCTGTCCTTTCTCACACATATTGTACAGTTGACATAGATTACAGAACGAACCCCAACCTGTACTTTCTCACACATATTGTACAGTTGACATAGATTACAGAATGGTCCTCAATCGCTCCTTTCTCACACATATTGTACAGTTGACATAGATTACAGAACAGTCCTCAATCTGTCCTTTTTCACACATACTGTACAGTTGACATAGACTATAGAACGGACCTCAATCGGTCCTTTCTCACAAAAATTGTAGAATTTTCGATTTATTTCAATGACATACAATTCTTATATATGTACTATATATTCGCTATACTTTTCTAAAGTGAATGAAGTTTGAACCTCCCAGAATTATTTAAAAGGTATACTATTGTTATGTTAAGAAGCTGATTGATTTACACCAAAGAAATCGAAAGCTGAATTGTAAGCATTTGTTTATATGTATAACAAAGTACCATCAATGGTAACGAGGCAAAGACTTCTTACTGTCGAACGTTGCGTAGATGATAAGATGTACTTATCAAGAAATTTAGGAAATCACTTAACTTTGACTCTATATGCACGAAAAGAGTACGTGCATATTCTTAACTGTGAAATAATTCGAAAATAAAAATAGAAATATGGCATGTTAATTAAGGAAAACCCAGACAGTAGACCTACATTATTAATTAATTTGATGAAAACATACTGCTGATCCCTCTTTCTAGAACTCTAGTGATGCCAAGGGGTCTTGTTCAAGACGGGGGGAAGTGGGATAGAGGTAGTGAACTACCTTTATGATTCAGTAAAAATTAATTTAGGATATTTGGATATAATCGATTCCAGCCCGGTTCCAACATTAATTCTAATAATAAACTATACTTCGACAACTTCAGGAAATTAGTAACCTGTACTTAAAAATAAAATTGTATCTAAATCACAAATAAATCACTACTACATACAGGTATGTAAATTCGTCCCTTTATATATACCACACATGTCATTACACAATAAACAAGTCAGCTCTAAATATAGTTATATATTCCTATGTAATGAAGCAGGACATATACATGCTGTACAGCTAAAAATAAACATGATTTTTAACTATTAAATTTTATCTAAGATATAGCTTCCTTAACACAAACATGTCTTTTGAATTAACCTGATACATGCTTCATGTCTACGTCATAAAATATCTTTTCAAATTCATTGTTCCTTACATAATCAGAAAATTTCACATAACTGTACTGGAATACCATATCTACGTCTATGTTTATGGCTACTTTCGCTTTGAAACATAATTAACATTTAACAGATCTTGTCACGTGATGAGTACTCACATGTATCAAAACACTGACCATTGTATATTCAAGTCTTGCCACTGTCTCCGATGTGTTCAATACTTTCTTCTTACTTCTAAAAACAAAATACTGGAAAACTAGGGGAATTCCCTTCTTTTCAAACGCATATCAAATTCATTTTCTTCATACATATCTGACATATACTAAACAAACAAAGAAAGGTGACACTTATTTTGTGAATAATTAATTAACCCCTTCATAAATCCTTTCCAATCATGTACGAATAAAGTAACTGATCAATTCTGATAAAACTGCAGTCATGGTTCATTATAAAACTTTGCGTTCAGTTGATTTTATTCGACTGTAAAGGACGTTGGGGTCAATTTCAAAGGTAACACCATTAGTAACGGGTATGGCCACCGTTTGCGAAGTAAACAGCATTGCAGCGTCGTCGCATGGAACTCGTAAACCGGCGGATATTTCGAGGAGAGATGTTGTTCCATTCAGCGATCAAGACTTGCGCCAGCTCCTGCAAGTTTGACGGCTGATTTTGACGTTCTCTCACGCGACGCCCAAGAACGTCCCAGACATGCTCAATCGGTGACAAATCAGGTGATTTAGATGGCCAATCTAACACCTGTTCGTTATTCTGCTGCAAGAAAGTTCTGCTGACGCGACTGGTGTGCGCTGGTGCGTTATCCTGTTGAAAAATGGCGCGAACGCCATGGCGTCTTAAGAATGGCAGAACCACTGGTCTTAAGATTTCGTCCCGATATAGAATGCCGGTTAAATTGCCATTTAACACAACAAGCCTGGTACGAGTCCCCCACAAATACCACCCCAAACCATTACACTTCCGCCGCCAAAGCGGTCCCGTTCTGCGACGCAGCAGTTCGCAAAACGCTCCCCTCGTCGCCTCCACACTCTGCACCTTACGTCACCGTGTTGCAGACAAAACCTGGACTCATCTGAAAACAGAACATTGTTCCATTGTCGTAAGGCCCAACGACGGTGAACACGGGTCCAGTTACGCCGATTATTACGGTGACGTCGCAACAAATTGGGTCCAGTGTAGGGACGCCGCGCTTTCAATTGGTAGGCCCTCAACCTGTTGCGGACTGTTTGGGGAGACACACGACGCCCAAACAATGTCCTTGTAGTCTCGACTGCGGTTACGAATCGATTGCGCAAGTATATCAATCGTATACGACGGTCATCCCTGGCGGTCGTTTTACGGGGTCGGCCGCTTCGGGGACAATCGGATGTTGACCCAGTTTGGTTTAAACGACTTACAACTGGCAAATTGTCTTAACACTGCAACCAAAATGCCGTGCAACTCGATGGCGAGACTCCCCAGCCAGGATCATGCCTACAGTCCTTTCTCTCTGTACTTGTGACAGCCGGGGCATAATGATAAAGTTGATAGATAGCAAGATTCGGTGATTTCTAACTTCTAAGGATCTAAGGAACAGTTGTCAGTTTGAATGTTTATGAAATTCAAGCGAAGATACAAGTTAGTCGCAGAAAACCTCGTGCAGCTCTTTCGCTAATACAGACTTTCACGCTTGAATGATTTTGGTAACCCCCTTGGATTTTGTTATATAAAACATTACCATTTTCTAATATTGCACAAACGTCATTTTGTTTTCATTCATTTACAGGTATTCGCCAAGGAAACATGTTAACCTTTCTTTGTTGAGTATATATGTTTAATGTTTAAAATGCTTTTTTACTAACCAAGGGCTCAGTTTGGGGGTCACTTTCGTATATAACTACATATACCAAAATTGATATCAATCGCGGTAGATTCTTTGGATTTTCCTTAGTCGCCTCCTAGGTTTCAAACCTTAGGCCATGAGCATCACTGACGAGTCTAAGGAGGACGACGAAACAGCCCATATAATGCAGTTTAATTCATTGTTTGGCTTTACTGTATTCCACTCTAAATTATAAAAAGGCGCTATTCACTCGTGTTTTTTTTTTTACAATCTTTGAGACAGGGGGTTGTAGACATTGGTTGTGGACCTGCTTGCCACATTTTAATGCATTCGAATAGTGACATGGTTCAGAAAATGCAAATGTACACGACGCTGTTCTAAAATTATCTGATGTATGAAAATTATGATATTTATCTAATTATGGAACTGATGTACCTCCCTGACTATGTTTTTACTTTTGCAGTTTAATTCATTGTTTGTCTCTACTGTACTATAAATTTTGAAAAGGGGCTTTCATTTGTTTGTCTTTTGTACAATCCTACATCAGTCACTACTTACGTTAAAGTGTCATGTTCATATGATGATAAGATAGATGGGTTTTCCCTAAACTCGGATAAAATCAATTCAATATTAATAAGGATGATCGTCGTTTGATCTGTTAATTAAAAGGTTATATGCACACGACCCCTACCCAGCCACCGTCAGATCGCCATACGTTTCAGAAAATGGAAAACTATATTTTACCACATGTCAATATGATTCATGAACATCTACGAAAATGTTTTATAATTGTCCTATTGATGACAATATTATCGACTTTTAACAACATCGGGTTACTTTTTAATCAATCTGATTAACATTGTCTGTCGGAGGAAGGTGAGAGGTCAGATGACCTTTTAAATAAACAATCAACTCGGGACTGGCAAGAAATTCTCCTCGTCACCATTAGTGATAGTTATTATTGAATGGAAAACAATGGATTGTCTCGAATATTATCCTCAAACAGATTTACTGTGTTCATAGAAAGCAATCTAATTAAAATTGGATGCTCTATTTTACCTACGTAGTTAATTTTAACATCAATTTTAATAAGATTACACAGAAAGCCCTCTCACTCCGAAATGGACGTACTTTTCGGATTATTATGCTTCTGTGGTTTGTGGGGTTTCATTTCTTTTACTGATTGCAAGAGAAAAATTAAATAAAGACGTAGTTTGGATGTCACATTCCATTTTCAAGGATAACAACACACAAAGAGATAAATCCATTGTGATTTATTGTAATTAATTGTAAAATGGATTATTTTAGTTTTATCACTAAAAAGACACCACGATCGTCTGAATTACTTAATATAGATGTTTTTGTTGATGTTTTAAAGATGTTGATAACTCTGATTGTACAATTTTTGTCCATATATGATCAATGTTGCTTTTATATACACATATAATATCAGTGTCCTCAATAACTAACTGCTAGCCCTACACGAAGGATGTGACTTATATAAATACACAGTTCTTAAATACACACAAACAATTTTACAATGTTTGTATACATATCAGATTGTATGAAGCTATGTAACAGATACATGGCTGTACCGGAAATCACCTAATCGGTTTGAGACGAGTCCATACCGTTTTAAAACGAAAGGGGTAGAAAATAAGCTATCGTTTTAAAATGAAGTTTGTTTTGTGCAGTGAAGAGTAGAGATGAAGACGTCCAGACGCTGTTCTGGTTTTTGTAGGTTTATTGTGATGTAGGCTATGGAGAGAGGGAACATTCACATGCATTCAGGTACGATACATATTGACTAGAAATGTGGTCGTATTTATACTAGAATTGTTATGAAACTGATAAAGTAATATTACACATTAGATAACAGGTTAACAAGGATTGAATAATACACGAGTTATTGACATGGTCTTATACATGTAAATAGTAATAGATTTGGTTGTTTTCCACAAGATAAGTTTACACTGACCCATATACAGACTGCTTAGACAGGGCTCAGGTAATTACCTATTTAACCAGGGAACGAATTAATACATGGACATGTGTAGTAGATTAGTAACAACAGAAAGCCTCTTGCTACTGATCAATACATAATTGTCCATATGTCTTTAGATGTCAGTGATAGATTTAGCTTGTCTCATTCTGGTATTTAAATTATGATTACAAATCTGACTTATGTCTAGCTGAACACGATTTTGAATAATCTAATTAACTTATATTTCAACTTTTGATAGTTCATTTGTCATGGCGTCGTCAATGACGTCCAAGTGAACCCACCACCCGCTTCCTGCAAAACGGCAGTTCTAGTTGAATCTCCTGCACTTCAAATGCACTCTGATCACCCATAACGATAACCTATACAGCCGATGGTCTTCCGAGTATGTGTATAAAATAGTTTTATTCAAAAAGTTTAAAGCCAATTTGTAATTATCGAATGTGACTATAAAGGATTGCTATCTATTTTCTGAATTTACATAGAAGTTTATCTAACTAGGCGTAACGATAGATTTTTAATTAACGCGCACCAAACATGTGTAGCTACAGTAAAACTTCGATGTGTCGAAGTTCAAGGGACCGTCGAGAAAACTTCGACACATCGGGACTTCGACTCATGAATGGTGACCGTCCAACCACAAAAAATACACCTGATGTGTATTGTGTCCGTTTGTCTTATATGCAGAGTCCCTTATCAATCAATATCTCGTGTTGATCGCTCGCATAATCTATCAAACATCGGAGAAAGGAAAAGAATTCATATGAATTTTAACATGTTTATTATAAAGAAAAAGACATCAAATAACAACGAATAACAATGCAACATACCACTTTCATAGAATCATTCATACACAGTGCAGCATGGTTGTATCGGAGATGAGAGTTCGGTTCACTTCCGGTATGTGTATCTTACTGATTTCGAAAAGGACGGAACAACATACATACGTAACACACATGTAAGAATGCAAGCACAATATACATTACATATCTTAACACTACATCGCAATGCAATATTTTCTTTAAATCCAAATTAAACAAAGAATGAACAACAAATTATATCTTAAGCACTAATAATGTCCGGTAGTGAAATGAAACGATGTCCTGAAAAAAAATCACTAATCTCAGTACAGGAATCAGTCATGTTGCTCCACCGCGAAAATATCCTCCATTGTCATTTGTGTCATGTCTAATCCACGGAGATAATGTCTATAGAACAAAGCACTAATGTCACTGACTTTCGCACTGGCACGGTTAATGACTTGAGAATACAGCTTGTGTAGACAATCAGACATGGTCAGTAATTATTGTCACTTTGTGTCTAGCCCTTGCCTGTCTATTGTTCACGCTTCCGCCGAGGTGTGAAAACTGCCATGGGACACTCGTACAGGTAAAATTTTTGACTTCGATTCATGTGTTGTGATTTCTTATGGTTTCTTAACCATGGGACCGTGAAAAAAGTTCGAATTAGCGAGAACTTCGATTCATAAAAGTTCGAGTCATAAATGTGAAATTAGTAGTATTATATAGGGGGAAAAATCGGGACTTGATAAAAAGTTCGACACATCGAGAAATTCGACTCATCGAAGTTCGACTCATCAAAGTTTTACTGTATTCCAATTCTTTGAATATACATGTACATGTACGCTTATTAACTTTAAGAAGGTGATTTATGATAACGAAGACGAAATTTTACGAATCTATTTTTGAAACAATTTTTGCACAAATGTGAATTGTATTGAATACAACCTAATGACACTAGATAGTGTTTGGTTGGAAAGTCAGGATTTCAAGACGTATTATCAGAAAAGCAAAAGCTTCTGTAAAGATGTATGGTGTTCCTAAAGAATTGTTAAGACAATTAAATGAGCCATTTTTTCATACAACATTGAAGAAAGCGATTGAACTTTTCGCGATTAACAAAAACATACTTATATCAACAGATTACCAAAATGAACTAAAATAGGTACACGATGACACTATGCGACCATCAAGAAATATTGATTGAAATCCAAATTTACGGAATCAGGTGATAAATAAATCAAAAATAAATCCTGTGACCTTGACGTTTAACATTACTTCCTGTTAAACACATACAATATATAGATCGCATTATGTATCATACCTGAATATACGTGATCGTTATCATATATCATTGCCTTATTCTAACAACTCAAGCTGAAAGAGATTAGCACCGATATAGCATACGTGCTTAACACACAAAATATTTATAGAACGCATATATCGCCAATGAACTACTTTTTATATAAACACATTTGTTTGTATCCACATTATATATTATGAAAATGTACTTAACACATATACAGACAAAGGAAGAGATTGAAACTGGTATCAATTTCCCGATGTTTGAATACATATCAGATTGTGTGAAGCTATATAACAGGCACATGGCCGGAAATCACCTAATCGGTTTGAGACGAGTCCATACTTTTTTATTTATAAATTAGAATGTTATATACATTTATTTACATATCTATACCTTAAATTACTATTTTTTTCTGACTATACATGAAATAGTTACACCCATCAGAATACAGATAATCAATTAATGAATATATTTCAGAAGTGTTAATATTAGATATTAAACGTGAATCAACACATTGAATATGTTTACCTTAAATAACATAATAATTATATGAAAAGTACATCATACCAGAACTTGAATAAATACTATAGCACTTCCACATCGATCGTCTGGCGATATCAAGTCTCCATTTCTACTGCTAGCCTCTCTTTTCCTTAACGTTTTCTTGGTTTCCGTTTGTTTCCTCGACCGTTCAAACGCCGCCTAGAATTAGGAGAAACATCATGTTCCGCAAGGTCTGGTGTGGCAATGTGATTCATCAACGCCTTATCCCTTTCGTACATGCTTCTACAATCAACGCCTCTCAAGTGCGCATAGAGTGAGACTTTGATTAGTCGTTTGTACAGTGGTTCCATGGTTTCTCCAGGATATCTGAAATTCAGAAATAGATAAATATTTCTTATATAAATATGTAACCTATTTAATAAATCAATTAATGTTTTTTAGTTTTAATCTGTTAAAATTTGCATTTTATCTCATGTTCCATCTGATACCTCGGATAAGTAAGGCAATTATTCTTAGCAGAAAAAAACTTAATAGACCAACAGAGTTTAGGCATATGGTAGAACATCGAAAGCTGCATTCGTTTTAATGGTATTATTTTGATACAGTAAAACGTGCTTAATAAGAATTCCAAGAGGCCATAGGTTTTGTTTTGCTATAATCGTAATTCATAATAACGCTATAACGAAGTAATTGTATATATTAATGCAGCGCTTTTTGATGCCTCGTCGTTAAGGGTTTCGTGATGTCGTATCAGTAAATCACTACATTATCCCATTTAAGTCCACACCATCAACATGATATTTATCATCTTTACACCACACATGTATAAAAAATAGTTTGATACCTTTTCATTTTGTTGTACAGATCCACGAGTACTGTGACGTCTTGGACTGCGTATTCCTTTATCTCTTGTGGGATACTTCCATCAGGTTTACGTTGCAGGAAGTAAGCTTCGTTCTCTTTCATCTTGTCTTTAGTGCTTTGCTTTAAATCCGAATCAAATTCGATGCCATGGTTTATACACATTGCCTCCAGACCGCAAGGTTTTACATGTTTTAGGATTACTTTTTTGTCTTGGGAGTCCAAAATCTGCTGTACTAACTGTGGCATAACGTGACGAAAACCAAAATGAAAGTATCAATTTTATCATCCATGGATATCGTATTGTTGCATATTGTAATACGAAACAAAGAACAAATTTAGTAATAGTTGCATTGAATTCTTATTATTAATACGGAATTACAGACTCCATACCGCTGGTTTGTGCCTCTAGGGATGAACTATGTAAAATAATCCAGAAGACGGGGATAGAAAATCATTTCAGGAAACGTAAACAACTTTTATTTACAAACGGTAAATGTTTGAAACTTATACTTTCTTGTCAAATAAGATTTATGGAACTCACGTACGTTACGTATGTAATATGTTTGTATTTAATGCCAATTCTTGTACCGATTAACTTTGAAACATGGTGCGATCGTTAAAATAGCGCTTGATTGTAGTAATCTTTTGACAAACAGTTAACTGTTTCAAAAATAGATTAGATGAACACTGAGCAAATCAGGAACTGGTATATAATTATAAAGCAGAAATTCTGTTCCTGGATCTGACGTCTCAAATGACAATAAATATAAACATTATCATTGTATCACTGAGACCGGTATAGAGGATCGTAACGATCCTGCACTGGTAATGATCTGAACTAAACTAAAATAAACTAAATAAAACATTTTCGTTATTATTCCTACCTTTACATCAAAAACGTTCTTCATTTTGATACAGCTTGTATTCCACAGCACTTTACTGTCATTGACACAGTCGTGAATTACCTAAATCAATTTCAAAATTAACCAGTCTTCATTAAACAAATAAGCACATAAACTTAGCGTCTTCACTTCCATACATCCACAATCACAAACACAGTTCACCTCCACAATGCCACAATCACAAACACAGTTCACCTCTACAATGCCACAATCACAAACACAGTTCACCTCCACAATGCCACAATCGCAAACACAGTTCACCTACACAATGCCACAATCACAAACACAGTTCACCGCCAAAAAGACACACTCACAAACACAGTTCACCTACACAATGCCACAATCACAAACACAGTTCACCGCCGAAAAGACACAATCACAAACACAGTTCACCTCCACAATGCCACAATCACAAACACAGTTCCTCTCCATACAGCCACAATCACAAAAAACAGTTCACCTCCACACTGCCACAATAACAAAAAAGGGTCACAACATTAACAACAAGGCAATATACCTCTAAAACGGTACAATAGCGATTCATGCACTCCACATCGTTACCATGAACGCCATCGATTCACATCCACGTCATGACTTCCACACCTCTACAACATCAACACTAAAACCATTTCCAGCGATACACCACTATATCGTCATTATTACTACCACCCAATAACCGTCAACACTGTAACTATCTCAGCATATGATACTCCTTCTTATCGTCCCAAATACGTCGATACCATTCCAGACATTCATCTCCACAGATACACATTTACCTGTCATCAATACACCAACTCTATATCATCACCACCACCTTCAATTTCACATCGTCATTACAACCTTCGATGCAACTTCGCAATGTCGCCTCCTCATTCACCGAAACACCTCCAAAACGTTACTACCTCAACAACTAATACACGTTTACACTATCACCAATACACCTCCATAACTACATCTCCACAATCACCCGAAAAACCGTCACCACCACAACCACTGATACACCTACACACAGTAACCACCACAACCACTGATAACCTACACACCGTCACCACCGATACACTTACACACCGCCACCATCACAGCCACCGTTATACCAACACACCGTCGCCACCACAACCACCCATACACCTACACAACATCACCACCACAACCACTGATACACTTACACACCGTCACCATCACAACCACTGATACACCTACACACCGTCACCACCACAACCACCTATACACCTACACATCATCACCACCACAGCCACCGTTATACCAACACATCGTCGCCACCAAAACCACCCATACACCTACACACCGTCACCATCACAGTCACTGATACACTTACACACCGTCACCACCACAACCACCCATACACCTACACACCGTCACCATCACAGCCACTGATACACCTACACACCGTCACCATCACAGTCACTGATACACTTACACACCATCACCACCACAACCACTGATAACCTACACATCGCCACCACCACAACCACTGATACATATACACAACGTCACCACCACAGCCACTGATACACTTACACAACATCACCATCACAGGCACCGTTATACCAACACACCGTCGCCACCAAAACCATCCATACACCTACACACCATCACCACCACAACCACTGATACACTTACACACCGTCACCATCACAACCACTGATACACTTACACAACGTCACCACCACAGCCACTGATACACTTACACACCGTCACCACCACAACCACCCATACACCTACACAACATCACCACCACAACCACTGACACACTTACACACTGTCACCATCACAACCACTGATACACTTACACAACGTCACCACCACAACCACTGACACACTTACACACTGTCACCATCACAACCACTGATACACTTACACAACGTCACCACCACAACCACTGACACACTTACGCACTGTCACCATCACAACCACTGATACACTTACACAACGTCACCACCACAGCCACTGATACACTTACACACCGTCACCACCACAACCACCCATACACCTACACAACATCACCATCACAGGCACCGTTATACCAACACATCGTCGCCACCACAACCACCCATACACCTACACACCGTCACCATCACAGCCACTGATACACTTACACACCGTCACCACCACAACCACCCATACACCTACACAGCATCACCATCACAAGCACCGTTATACCAACACACCGTCGCCACCACAACCACCCATACACCTACACACCGTCACCATCACAGCCATTGATACACCTACACACCGTCACCATCACAGCCACTGATACACTTACACACCGTCACCACCACAACCACTGATAACCTACACACCGCCACCACCACAACCACTGATACACCTACACACCGTCACCACTACTGCCACTGATACACTTACACACCGTCACCACCACAACCACCCATACACCTACACAACATCACCATCACAGGCACCGTTATACCAACACACCGTCGCCACCACAACCACCCATACACCTACACACCGTCACCATCACAACCACTGATACACTTACACACCGTCACCACCACAACCACTGATAACCTACACACCGCCACCACCACAACCACTGATACACCTACACACCGTCACCACCACAACCACTGATACACCTACACACCGTCACCACCACAACCACCCATACACCTACACACCATCACCACCACAACCACTGATACACTTACACACTGTCACCATCACAGCCACCGTTATATCAACACACCGTCGCCACCACAACCACCTATACACCTACACATCATCACCACCACAGCCACCGTTATACCAACACATCGTCGCCACCAAAACCACCCATACACCTACACACCGTCACCATCACAGTCACTGATACACTTACACACCGTCACCACCACAACCACCCATACACCTACACACCGTCACCATCACAGCCACTGATACACCTACACACCGTCACCATCACAGTCACTGATACACTTACACACCATCACCACCACAACCACTGATAACCTACACATCGCCACCACCACAACCACTGATACATATACACAACGTCACCACCACAGCCACTGATACACTTACACAACATCACCATCACAGGCACCGTTATACCAACACACCGTCGCCACCAAAACCATCCATACACCTACACACCATCACCACCACAACCACTGATACACTTACACACCGTCACCATCACAACCACTGATACACTTACACAACGTCACCACCACAGCCACTGATACACTTACACACCGTCACCACCACAACCACCCATACACCTACACAACATCACCACCACAACCACTGACACACTTACACACTGTCACCATCACAACCACTGATACACTTACACAACGTCACCACCACAACCACTGACACACTTACACACTGTCACCATCACAACCACTGATACACTTACACAACGTCACCACCACAACCACTGACACACTTACACACTGTCACCATCACAACCACTGATACACTTACACAACGTCACCACCACAGCCACTGATACACTTACACACCGTCACCACCACAACCACCCATACACCTACACAACATCACCATCACAGGCACCGTTATACCAACACATCGTCGCCACCACAACCACCCATACACCTACACACCGTCACCATCACAGCCACTGATACACTTACACACCGTCACCACAACAACCACCCATACACCTACACAGCATCACCATCACAAGCACCGTTATACCAACACACCGTCGCCACCACAACCACCCATACACCTACACACCGTCACCATCACAGCCATTGATACACCTACACACCGTCACCATCACAGCCACTGATACACTTACACACCGTCACCACCACAACCACTGATAACCTACACACCGCCACCACCACAACCACTGATACACCTACACACCGTCACCACTACTGCCACTGATACACTTACACACCGTCACCACCACAACCACCCATACACCTACACAACATCACCATCACAGGCACCGTTATACCAACACACCGTCGCCACCACAACCACCCATACACCTACACACCGTCACCATCACAACCACTGATACACTTACACACCGTCACCACCACAACCACTGATAACCTACACACCGCCACCACCACAACCACTGATACACCTACACACCGTCACCACCACAACCACTGATACACCTACACACCGTCACCACCACAACCACCCATACACCTACACACCATCACCACCACAACCACTGATACACTTACACACTGTCACCATCACAGCCACCGTTATATCAACACACCGTCGCCACCACAACCACCCATACACCTACACACCATCACCACCACAACCATCAATAAAAATCAATAGCGTCATTTCAATATACGTACAAGAATGCAAGAAGAAAATTGGGTAAAATATGTTGAAAGTTAATTAAATTAAAGTTAAAACATATTGTTTTTATTTAACTCATATATAATTAGACATGACACTTTTACTTGATAAGCAATCAAAGCGATTACACAATAGATATTATTTTGATATATATTACACAATGGTATTACCCGATCAAAACTATTTTTAGAGAATATTTTTCAAACTTAACTTGTCAGTTTTATAAATACTGTTCCGTATTCTCTCAAATGGATATAGAATAAGGATATTACTTTTTACTTTTAGCTATAAGGATGTACAAATGTTGACTATGCCAACAAAACATAAGGAAATAATTACAGTGTTTACTTTACCTTGGTTATTTTATCAGATTCAAAAACTTCCCTCAGTTCTTCTATCATATCCTGACACTTCAGCACATCAAATAAAAACACGTTTTTGTCTCGGGTGGAAATTTGTATAAGTGAAAGTTGATTTTCAGTTTTGTTCATCAAGAATTCTGTGTCTAAAGTGAGGAAATCATTCTGACACAATTGCTTAATTACTCCAGATTTCTTCAATGTGGCTAGATCCTGAAAAACTTTTATCTGAGGTCTGACATATACAACGGTGGCCATCGATCAGTTGTCGTTACCTGAAGAAAACTAAGTAACAGATATAACATGGTACGCAATTGTTCAAGAAAAAAAGATTAAGAAAACATGCTTGTATTAGAATGTCATCACAAAATTCCAAATATTTATATCCTTAGCAACACAAACGACACGTAGGAAGAGACAGCTTGATGATGCAGTAAAATATTTGATGATAATAACTGTAATCTGTATTACAAGGTAAGTACATATCTACCTTCTTATCTACATTAATTCATATGATGATGTTTACTTGTTCATTAGTAATATAACAAAGGAAGGCATGTTTAGACTCGTGCCATCTTGGCCTAACAGTACCGAACCGAGATATGCAGTGCATACACACTGTAGATCTAGCCTCTTTTATATCCCTTGATAGTACAGAGTAACAGTAATTAACTTAGAAAATCAAACATGATTAATGTAACGCATGCTTAGTTTACCTATATTGATAGCAGTATATAGCGTACTCCGGAATCAATGATGATTTGTAAACACTTGGTCTCATCGAAGGATATTTATAAATATGCGTTTATAATTCTCAGTAAAATATTATATAAATAACATTTTTCTTGGTACACAAATAAAGGTTGAAAATGTACTTACACAAATACACATGCTGATCTTATACCTATAGATTAAGCTACTTAAAGCTAATGATAGCACCATAATATGTATATACAAGGGTGACTTCCTCCTGTCCAAAGTCCCCTCTTATATATATATTTCACACCACAGAAATATTTGAAATATTTCAAATGTGTATCGGTTATCTAAGGCTATCGGAAAACAAACGGTTACGATCACCCACTCTCTTATCATGTTGTCGAATATGTCATTTAGAAATGTATATCTAATTGTCCTCATTGCTATCAGAATAGAATAGATCCACTGTACTTTTTATCACGTTAGTTTTACTCTTGTTTACTGGAATATGAGTTAGAATGTCGGTAAGGTATTGTATCTTAGTTTTCCAAATGTGTTTTAGTACTTGGGTTGATCAGCTGTAGAGTCATCCTTGCTTTTCTTCAGATGAGTCACGCGTGCCGAAGACTAGCCTCATGAGGGCAGCCCATGCAATGAACCAATTTACGGTTGAACATATCTCGGATTATAGCAATTCATAAACTTATTATATTAAAATGTCTTGACTGAAAGCTGTTGGTCTGTTAAAAACATGACCTGCTACTGTGTTATCTGTGTAAATGAGCCTTTTTTAAATTTGATTTTCTACCATTGTAGTCCAGCATATTTTTGTCCTGATGACTCTATGTTGATGGGCCGTTTAGAATATGATAACCGCGATAATAACATCAAACTTACTAGCTTTTTCCGAGACCTGACTCGTCATTCAAATACAGCTTTTCTTTAACCAAATGGTAGCATCAAGTTAATAAACTGAACACATTGACTGACATCAGGACGGATGCCCTTCGTAGTCTAAACAACACTTACCCTCCCACAGGTGTGTTCTTCTCTATTATATTGCTTAATGTTCCGTTGTTTCTTCTTGTAATTACTGTTTGGATGTGGATTTAGCTGGCATGTTGAAACACCATAGTGAAAATCTTTGGTGAATATGATATGTTGTCTGGTGGCAAGGACGATTTAGAGCGAGTCCATCGAAGTTTCCAATTTTCTGAGGTTAAATCAATTTCGTTATCTCATAATTATAGAAAATGTCTATGACCCTCAAAATTAACATACGTGTTATTATAAGTTTAACAAAACGGGCTGGAATTTTTCAGATTATATAAAAAATGTTGGTTTTCCGTAATACTTCCTCATAAATTTATATATAGTTCTTACTAAAATAATAAATCTTCTTTTTAGTAGGTTCACTGTCAACACTTTTAAACATCAAAGAAATGCTACCTCGATAAAGATTGTGGTTGTGTCATATAGAAAATTTCAATAGGAACCTTCGTGTGTGTAAATTTTCTATCAACCGACATATATGTATACAACTCATACTAGGTATATGTTTCACATGACCCATTGAATGAAATGCTTTAATGAGAGATATCATTGTTTGGTGTCTTAACGTGGTAACCATAAACAAATACTAACTAAAAACGGCACACAGAATCTAATGTGTTACGTATTTTGACCTGAATTCGTGGAATCATTCGTGACGTAAGAACCAATTGCCTTCCTATAATGCAAAGCATTCTCAGCTTACCAAAACTTTATAAAACATATTCTTTGACACTGTCATGGTATGAATCTTTTAAAAATTTTGTTAAAATTTCAAATTCATAAAAATGATAAGAATTGAATTAATGTCTGGGAAAAATTCCTGAAACATATCACATTAGCATTGTTTTATCTTGTTGAATAAGTGTCTCATGAACAACTGACTACCTGATAGTGACAATTACGTACTTCTTTATACAGGTATGTAAAACCCCAAATGTGTTACGTATTATACATTACCTAATACCTTAACAACCAGCTGGCTTGTGTTGACGTTAAAAATTGAAGTTATATAATGGAAATTCACAGTCGAGAAGTAAACGCTGAATAACTTGGGTTGAAATTTACGCTTGGTATTTCCACATTAACAAAGACGCGCAATTTTCAAGTAATAAAACACTACTAATGTAAAAGCTAACTTAAACCTATACCACCAGTATTTATTTGAATGAGCACTAGGTATATTATAATATCACCACCCCGCCGAATCCATCCCCTAAATAGAAAATGAAGTGAAAATTACATTAGTCATATACATAAAAAAAACCTTAAGGACAATAAGTAGTCACGCACAAGATGTCGCTGTACCGACGAAATGGATCATCTCCATTCAGCATTTCCAACCATGGCTGAAAAATATATCTTTGTTAAAAAAAAGCTGTTTTGGAAACTGGACACCTGCGCGCACTCAACCCTTGCACAGGTAAATACAACTACTACTCAGGGCTTCCATAGATAAACTACTCGAACAAAATAACGTTATTAAGCGAAATATACGCTTAAAGGCAACTAAATTAACTTGTACATATCAACACATTACTATAATACCACATAAATCCTAATTACCTAATACTGTTAATTATGACATTTAAAATCAACACACCTGTATACTATAACAGCAAATAGTTACGCTCGAGTGGACACGCATCGATAGATAGATTGGTTGACCCGCAATAGGGACAATTAAAATATGGCACGAAATAGCCAACTAAAACAACAATTTATGAAAGATAGAAAGAATACTTACCCCAGTCAGATATCCGGGCTTCATCACACACGAATTACGGCTGGGAAACTAATTATAAACAGCTCTGCCAAACAATGGCCACTCCTCTCACCTGTCCAAAGTACTAGCAGAGTGTAGAGAAACATTATTCAGTGATTCAGTTGAAAGTACTGAAACTGCTTCTGTTAAAAACATGATAAATTCCATTTTTGAAATGTTCACTGAAGTGAAGTCGAGACTATGGAAAATTGAGGAAAACACCAGTACTCTGGAGGAAATTAACAAAAAACTCAGTAACCTATCTATGAGAGTAGAAAAGTCAGAAACAGAGATTGGTAGTATGAAAATTAGGATAAGGGACATGGAAAGTGACTTACAGGGAAATAGTGATATTATGGATCGGGTAAAGGCGGCAAACGATACTGTAGGTAGAAACATTACGAAAATGAAGAAAAATATTGAAGCTTTGGAAAAAAATGAAAACGAAGTCCTTGACGATGTTGATGAATTACATGAAATGATGACAGAATTGAGAGATAGAGCGACCGATGCCCAATGCCGAAGCATAAAATATAATTTGATTTTCTCAGGAATTCCAGAAAAAGTTTGGGACCAACACCAGAGTCCTGATGACGATGAACTGACCTTGAAAAATTTTATTGTACAAAAACTGAAAATTGAAGATGCTCATCAAATAGCTATGGCCAATGTGCATAGAATAGGTCAGCGCGACAGGCGTACAGGTGCGCGTCCAAGGTCGATTATCGCAAAGTTTGTATATTACAAGGACTTAGTTTGGGTAAAACGAAACGCGAAAGAACTAAAAGGGACACATTTCGGGATCAACGAGCAATTCCCAAAGGAAATAGAGGACAAGCGTAAAACTCTGTATCCTGTAGCAAAAGAAGCGAGAAAACAAAACAAAAAAACGGTGTTTAATAGAGATCAGTTGTACATTGATGGAGTGTTATACAAGAGCCCGGATGTTCAGCTCGGCCAGCCTACTCAACAACCGCGTACCAAACGCCGGTGAGTGAACTCTAATCAGCATGAATAGGGACACGCCGGAGGGCAAATCCTTTTCATAGACACTAGTTTTGTTTCAAATGAGTTAATTAGTACAGGAGGTGGCGGTAACAATAATTCTACATGTACATTAAAATTACTGTTGTTAAATGTTTGTGGTATATTGAGAAAAGCCCAGTATCCCGAGTTTCGTGATTTTGTAAATGATTATGAGATTTTATGTCTCTGCGAGTCTAAAACTGACGATTTGGATGTCATTGATTTGCCTGGTTTTAAAACTGAAATGAAAAATAGGGCACATTTCAGAAAAGTGAAGTCGGGTGGTATAGTTATAGCATATAAATATGACTTGGAAAATTATATTCACTTTATAGAAAGTGACAGTAAATATGTCAACTGGTTTAGGATGGATGGGACGAAATTACACTGTGACGATGATTTTTTATTTGGAACAGTTTATGTCCCGCCCGAGAATTCCCAATACTGTGTTGGTGATCCTTTTTCAGAAATTGAGACCGAATACTTAAGATTATCAGCAAATTACAAAAATGTGTCTTTGTTAGGAGATTTTAATGCAAGAACTGCAAGCTTTGTAGATTTTATTGACTATAATGAAATAAACGGTAGAGATCAAACTGAAATTGAAATTCTAGATGAAAGTATTACCAGTCTGAATGAACTGGAAAATTTTGGTATTGTTAAAAATAGGAAGAGCCAGGATTTAATGAAAAATAATTTTGGGAACCGACTTTTAGACTTTTTACCTGTTACTTGTAACGGAAGAGTTGGATGTGATAAAGATATAGGTAAGTACACATGTAAAAATACCAGTGTTTTAGATTATGCAATATGTTCCTCTAAGCTCCTTAAGCGCACACGTGATTTTGATGTTTTAGATTTTAGCGCTCTTTTGTCCGACGCGCACTGCCCTCTCTCTCTTACTATAGGTGGAATAGCGCTTTCCATTGACACAGTAATATTCATGATAATACAGACTATACTGAACGGATTAAGAATTGGGAGAGTGAGAAATTACAGAATTTTATTGACAACATAAATGATGACAAAATACAATATATTACTAATATAATTGACCAGTGTAATGACATCAATGACCTAGATATTGATACACTAATAGCAGACTGTAGCGATGTGTTGGTAAGTGCTGCTAAGTCAACTTTTGGTACGTATAAGCATACTGATAAATGTAATACACACCTAAGTCAAATTCTAAACTCTGGTTCAATGGTGAGTGTAAGGTGGCCAGAAGGGCATTCCGACGCAATAAAGGTATGTATAGACGTCACAGAAATGATTACTTCTTTACAAAATATAAAGAATCTGAAAAAAATATACAAACGTACAATGGATAAAAGTATTTACAAGTTTAGAAAAGATCTTAGATGTAAGTTGAAAGAAATGAAAAGTAATAATGCACGGGACTACAGGAAACTACTCAAATCTTCAATTGGTCCATGTAAAAATAAGAGAGGTTACATTTCACTCGATATGCTGTTTGATTATTTCTAAACCCTGAATGTTGAAGGGGATGATAACCCATTCGAAGTTAATGATATTGATATGGGTCCTGTAAATATTGTATTAAATAGTAATATAACCAGAGAGGAGGTGGAACGTGCTATTAGGCTACTGAAAAATAATAAGGCTTGCTCTGATGATCTTATCAGTAATGAATATATTAAATACTCGTCCTCTAAAATGATCGATCTCTATGTTATGTTGTTCAATGTTATTTTTAGCACAGGGAAAATCCCTGAAAGCTGGCTTCGAGGCTCTATCGTACCTATTTTTAAAAATAAGGGTTCTCCTTCAGACCCCAAAAATTACAGGCCAATCACTATTGTTAGTTGCTTTGGAAAGCTTTTTACCAGCATTTTAAATGAAAGACTTTTAAAGTATTCTGACGAAGTTAAGTTAATATGTGAAAACCAAGCTGGATTTCGTAAGAAGTATTCAACTATAGATAATATCTTTGTGTTGTATTCTTTAATTACTCTTACTAATATGATGAAAAAGAAACTCTACTGTATTTTCATTGACTTCGAAAGTTTGGAGAAATGGTTTATGGAATAAAATGTTGCTTAATCATATAAATGGTAAAATGTATACAATAATTTACAATATGTATCAAGGTATTAAATCTAATATTTCGTTCAATGGTCAGAATTCTACATTTTTCGCATGTAATAACGGCTTGAGGCAAGGGGAAAACTTATCTCCCTTTTTATTTAGTTTATATCTAAATGACCTGGAGGAATTTATGGTTAGTGACAGTGTCATTGGTTTACAGTGCCTTAATAATCAGCTTGAAGATGATTTCCATATGTATATTAAATTATTTATTTTATTATATGCTGATGATACAATACTATTTTCTGACACGCCAGAAGACCTTCAAATGCAGCTAAATATTATTAATGAATACTGTAAAAACTGGAAGTTGAAAGTCAATAGTGGGAAAACAAAATGTATGATATTCAGTAAAGGTCGTTTAAATAACAGATTTCATTTTAAATTTGATACAGAGGAGATAGAAATTGTCAAAAGCTTCACATACTTGGGCACTGTTTTTTCTCGTACCTGTTCCTTTAATGAAGCTAAAAATTACAACGTTAAAAAAGCAACTATTGCAATGTATGATGTTTTAAAAAGGGAAGGTTGTATAACCTCTCTATTCAATGTATTTATGATTTGTATGATAAAATTGTTAAACCTATATTATTGTATGGATGTGAGATTTGGGGTTTTACAAATCTACAAGTTATTGAGAGAGCTCACTTAACATTTTGTAAATTGTTACTTGGGATCAAACGTAGTACACCATCGTTTATGGTATATGGTGAACTTGGAGCTTATGCATTGAATCTTTCAGTTAAAACGAGAATGTTGACTTATTGGTCTCAATTGATTAATTCAAAAGAAAACAAACTTAATGTTGTAATGTATAAACTTTTATGTCATAATCAATATAATAATATCTCCTATGTAAGTTATATCCAACAAGTATTAAATCACTGTGGTATTAGCTATGTTTGGAATGTCCAATATATTCAAGATCTAGATACCTCATGGTTAAAATCCTATGTAAAACAAACACTTCGCAATCAGTTCACGCAGCAATGGGAAAATGATGTATTTACTTCTTCAAAATCTAGTTGTTACAGAATTTTTAAAGAAAATTTTGGATTTGAAGGATATTTGGATATTTTAACAGATAAAGAAAGAAACACTTTTTGTGAATTCAGAACAACAAATCACAGGCTCATTATCGAAACCGGAAGTTGGAATAATACTGTACGTCACGAAAGAATTTGTACTTTTTGTAATAGTCAACAAATAGGGGACGAATTCCACTATTTGCTAGAATGCCAGTCACTTGTTGAGCATAGAAAATTATATGTAAACAAATATTATTATACAAGACCGAATGTATTAAAATTTAGAGATCTTATTAACTCTAAACACGATAAAACTCTGAAAAAACTTTGTAAGTTTATTAGAATCATCTTTATTAATATCTGTCCTCCATAATACAGTACAAAGCATGAACTGAGCTGTTTCAGTTCTAATTTTGACGTTGTATGATTAATATGTATATATTTGAATGGTATCACTAGTACTGTGCAATGATATGTTATGGTATACATGTACAATATATATACGATATATTAATAATTAAGTAATAACATGTATACAAACTTATGTTATCATAACTTATGTTGCATGTACATAGTATACAATGTATGTATTCATACTTTCTATCTGGCTGAACAACTTTATTTAACTTTGTTGCTTTGTAAATATGTTTTCTCTGTACTGTATGGTTAAAGAGAAATAAATAAATTGAAATTGAATTGAGCCCATGCACTACCCGTCCTTCTTCACACGTACACACACACGCACACGTGACCAATTCACTCACCATTCACAAAAACAAAAAGACGTGCTTGCGTTCGTGACATGTATATCATGTTAACAGACCGAGTTTTGTATGTTGCATATATTACAATGATTGTCGTGTAAAATCAATAGTGATTTTATTGATAGATGTTTCCATGCATGAATAAAACAGAAAATTCCGTTAATTTGTATATCAGTGAATAGTTTATACTGAATTATGTAAAATTAAAAAAAAAAAAAAAATCTAAATCAGAGACGACAAAAACAAAGTAAGCAATTAAAAACGCATTCAACATTATTATGCAAGTGCAATTATAACATCATAAATGACAACGTTATAGTAAGTTATTAATACTGACAAAAGTTTCGTGATGTAGAATTTATTATCATATTCTTTAAAAACTATATAAACACACTACGTTGTAGTTTTCAAAGGAATCGTGATGTTTTACAACACAGGTACAAACTTGTGGGAAACCCGGAAAGTGATATTGTAATTGATCAGCTGCCGATGATAAGAGAGATATACAATCCTACTCTGTGTAAGATGGTTTCAGTTTCAAACTGGAGTGGTTTACGTTGATCAGGAAACATCACAATGAAGGAGCTGTAAGCTTGGATGGAATATCAAAAGAGAATCACCATCGCTGTTATTGGAAGCTACGCTGTTATCTTGATCTATACGAGGTAAACAGCGAACGAGTACATTTTGTAAAGTAATAAGCAATTATATGAAAGATATAACTATGTGAAATTGTGGAATGTAATTAATTAGAATAGTAAAGCGTCCAATATACTATTAATGGTATAGACAAACCATAGACAATACAATAACGATTCATGCACTCCACATCGTTACCATGAACGCCATCGATTCACATCCACGTCATGACTTCCACACCTCTATAACATCAACACTAAAACCATTTCCAGCGATACACCACTATATCGTCATTATTACAACCACCCAATAACCGTCAACACTGTAACTATCTCAGCATATGATACTCCTTCTTATCGTCCCAAATACGTCGATACCATTCCAGACATTCATCTCCACAGATACACATTTACCTGTCATCAATA